AGCCTCCACAAGTGGTATCAAATTCTGAAAGATAGCAATAGCAATAGTACTTAGACTTATATACCGCTTCATAGTGCTTTTACAGCCCTTTACAGTTTACAGAGTTAGCATATTGCCCCCAACAATCTGGGTTCTCATTTTACCGACCTCGGAAGGATGGAAGGCTGAGTCAACCTTGAGCCGGTGAGATTTGAACTGCCGAACTGCAGCTAGCAGTCAGCTGAAGTAGTCTACAGTGCTACACTTTAACCACCACACCACCTCAGTTCTATGGCAATAAGCTCCTTTTAACATCCCAAACGAAAGTCTGGTCTTTAGTCAAATTTGCCAACCACTCTTCCTTGAACTTCTGATATATCATTCAAGATTGCTTACACACACACAATGGCCATAACCTTACACAGGTGTAAATCCAAAGTCTGAGCAGAACTTGTCAGTTAAAGAGGAACCACTTGATTGATAGCAAGTCAGATGTCACTTAAGAAAAAAGTCCTTCCTCATCATATCTGCCATCATCACTCTATTTGAAGAAACTGAAGTTGTGTAACATTTTCTATTCTTCTAGTAATGCAGACTATATTATTTAAAGTAACTTCAAGTTCTATTTTTGATAGTGCTTTTTCTCTACTTCATTCTGCATTTGTATTTCCGCGACCCATTATTACAAACTATGGAGACGGCAAGAAAGATACCAGAATACTCACAAATAATTATTTAAATCTGCTCTACAAAATTAATACCAAGCATTAAGTAGGTAAAATTATATCTGAGGATGGTAGACATTCTCCTCAGAATTGGGAAGCCAATCTTACCTTCGCACTGAAAATCAGTGTATCACAGATACACGACTAGCTTGGAATGTGGAATTGCCACCCAGCAGGTATATACAGAGAAAATACAAAACAATCCGGTTACATTTAAAGCCTACAAGGTTTTAAATTTACGCTATGCAGGACTATGAGCAGGTGGGGCGCCAACAGTAGGATAGGGAATGCCAAATTTCAACCTTGAAAATTTCTATTGCATTTCAAGGTTTACTCTCACTTAGAGAACACATATTGAGATGTATCCATGAGGTCTGACCACAGATGTCCACAGGATGTGATTTTTTAAAAAGTCAAAATGGTGGCTATTGAAGCTAATTTTTAAATGTGTGTCATATGTAATACAGAAGACCTCTGATTGTTGTCATTGTGGTCACCATTAGGACTTTCGGACATTCTGGGGTGACTGTGATTTCTTTCTGCTTCCTAGTCTTTTGTGGCTTCCAATTTATCTAAAAAGCTATAGTAGAATGTCCTAAGTTTACATTCTGTTTATTTATTCCTCATAACACACATATTCACACTGGCAAAAGACAGCCCTCACACCACCTTCTCCATAAGTGGAAGTGAAGCTGAAGTGTTTCATGTAGTATTGTCTGTAACAAGAATGGAAGCAGCAGAAAAAGTTCTAGGAAAAGCTTTATGGGGCTTTGTGGAAAATACGTTGAAACCCCGCATTCAATGGACTGTTTCAAACCAGGTCTCTATTTTGAACCACAAATCTGCTTTGATGTGGTGATTTGATCCATGGAAGGTCCATGGAATTAAGGCATTCCTTAAAATTTTTGCACACAATCAGAGATGGGATTCAGCCGGTTCAGTTGTTTCTTCAAACAACCTTATTCCCCCAAAATAAGACATCCCAAAATAAATTTCCCCCAAAATAAGACATGGGATAATAAGCCCAATCGGGCTTTTGAGCGCATGGCAATAAGGCCAAGCACTTATTTCAGGTTTCAAACAAATATAAGACAGGTCTTATTTTCGGGGAAACACGGTAGTTCCGACAATCAGCTGGTCCCGCCCACCCCTGCCCTAACCTGTCCTATATTTCCTTCTTTGTGGCTCAGCTAATTCGCGCGGCACAGCTGATTTCCATGCCTCCGCTGTTCTACTTACCAGGGATGCCTTAGAAGGTAAGCAGCTGAGTTTCAAATTGCTGTATTTTGAACACTGCACATAAACGTGTTAGGCACGTGTACGCACAAAGCACGTGCTCAGCGAACCGGTTGTTAAAACCACTTGCATCCTACCACTGCACACAATTTCTGATATAAACTTTAGTTATCTGGACTTAGCACTGTATAGATATTGCACTAAAAGAATCAAGGCTGGCTGCAAAGGGGGAAAAAGCTGTATTCGCCTGAGATTTTCATTATAACAGAGCTGAATAATTTTGTCAGGAGAAAGAACGATGAGTAGTGCATTTAAGCCCCATTTCATGATCACAAGAAATTTTATTTAATCACAGTTTCAGCTCCTGAGATTTTTACCAGCTACTTCACAAAGGCTTCTGTATCAACTTTATCAGCCATATAATACTGTAAATTGGATTGTTTTTAAATGGAAGTTGGTCATTGAAAAAGGATCAAAATTCTTCATTCCGTAGAACAATCTGTACTTTCTTCTTTTGGGCACTGTGTGGGCTATAAATTGCCTGAATTTTTCCATTTGTTTCATGATTTCTTTTTTAAAGAGCAACATACATCTTACAAACTGTTTTATTACACCACAGATCTTTCTAAAGTAGAACCTGCTGCTTTACAGGTATTAAATATTATTTTTAATTGGGAAGTTGGGCTTAGTACAAAATTCCCCTTCTGAACAAAAGGGATTAATGGAGAGATTTCTTCATTAGCAGATGCTAATTTTAAGAAAGGAAATGTTATTCCTCTCAGTCTAGAAAAAACGACTACAGAATTTTTTTAAAAGAAGCAAGCTAGATAATTTCAGGGTACTCAGCGCAGAAAAGAAATATCTGACAAATTTCTGTCATGCAACAGATATCAATAGCACTTAGACTTATATACCACTTCACAGTATTCCCTCTCTAAGTGGTTTACTGAGTCAGCCTATTTCCCCCAACAATCTGGGTCCTCATTTTACCCACCTCGGAAGGATGGAAGGCTGAGTCTACCTTGAGCCTGGTGAGATTTGAACTGCCAAATTGCAGGCAGCTGGCAGGCAGCAGAAGTAGCCTGCAGTATTGCACTCTTTTATTTATTTTTTATTTTATTTCGAATTTATATACCATACCTTCTCCCGAGGGACTCAGGGCGGTGTACAGCCAAATAAAAACATACAATACCAACATTAAAAACAATTAAAAGGATATATATTAATTTGGCCCCAATTTAAAATAACAAACCAATTAAAATATTTAAAAAATATGTTAAAAAATATGTTAAGCCACTCTAACCACTGCGCCACTGCAGCTCAATAGCTTCTTATAAAGATCCAGAAGATAGCATCAGGATAGCTGATGGTAAATTTTAACCAATCCTCTACAAATCACAGATCTGGTTTGCTGCATTTCATGAGTTTGTGATTCAACTCTACACTCCTTTTCCTTCTTAATTTATGGACATTTTGGACAGGTGTCCTTTTGGACCATTCTCAGCATTTGAAAGAGGCTTTTCAGAGTGTATTTGCATGAAGAAACAGCTCTTTTCAGATTATTAAAGCAGCCATATCCTTTTTCAAGAGCTGTACAACTGTTTTTTATTTAGATATTTGTAAAAATTTATTAGCTGCCCATCTTACGCAACAATAACTCTGAGCAGCTTACAATGTTAAGTAATTTAAGTTTAGACTGTAGCCCTGGTTATCAGCATGTGCAGATTCAGACAATTCTTTCACTGGGTCTCTCTGAAACAAATCAGCAGCTCATGGATGGATATACAGAGCGAGCCAAGGTGAACATATGATGTGGCCACGCAGGATTTGCAAAGGATGTGACTGAAACTGACCTATTTTGTTTCAAAGAATGTGGTTTGAAAAGCCCCTCTATCAAAGGCTTTGCACCACCTTAGAATCTATCAACAGCCAAAATTATTAGCCAAAATGTGTAAATAGTATCAGCATCTTTTTCACTATCACTAATGACACCTACAAAGAATTCATTTAGAACAGCTCTTGAGGATCGTGGGAGAGGATGTAAATCTCTGACATAAATTCCTTCACCCAGTTATAGTGATAAAAAGGATATAGTAGCTTTATCCTGTCTTTTCTTCCATAGCTAATAACCATTCTAGGAATGGATCTTCATCAAGGAATGATTGCAGGCAGAAAGTTTAACTCGTCTCCCTTCCATTGAATTCAAGAAGACATTGTAATATTGGAAGATGAAATGCACACATAGCAAATATCTCGACTACTTTTGCCTAGGGGCATGATTAATAACATCCCATGCTTATGCCATAATACATCTCTTTTTGTTTACCATAATATGGCTTAATGTGCCATTGACTTCATATGGACTGAATTCCACGTAAGCTCTTGGAATCAAACATTTTTAAAAGTGAGAAGCACAATCTGATTCAAGGAAGTATTATATGTAGTATTGAATCATTGGCATCTCTCATTACTCATCGCAGCACTTTCAGTACTGTTAACAGATTATATGTTAACTTTGGTCTAAATTAACAACTCTAGAGTTTCTACCTGGAATTGGCTATGGTTTAAATTTGGGACTTTTAATTACATTCTACCTGTGAACTTTAGTTAATTTCTCTTTTCTTCAATGAACTAATGAAATGGCCATCAATTAAACACTCCTTTATTAGTTAATGGATTTTAACTAATTTTAATTGATTAGCCTTTTTGTCTGGAGAGAAAACAATTTCTCTGAAGTTCGAAGCATACTTTGAGATGAAATACAAATTACATAACACGGCATCATCACTTCAAAAGGGACACATTTGTGTATGTGAAAGAAGGAAAAACAACTTTTGAAAAATGGACTTGCCATCTGCAATTAACTATCTCTATGTGTGTCTTTGCTTGATTCACCAGAGGCATCATTTCAGTTAATTAAAAGTGTTTGAATCCATTACTTTACCAATCAATATATTACATTCTACAGTGTGGCGAATGCCATTGCTGTTGTATAACCAATTAAAATACAAACAGGACATTTCTTCATTCATCAACATTATCAAGCTTTTAAATGCTTACCATGGAGAACCATATATCCTGAAGCCTCTGACTGTTACTTCTGAATCCTGCAGGTATATGCAGTTCGTTAAGAGAGACTGCACATTTTCATAACTTTCTGGCTTCAATTTTGATACTGAGGGAAAATAATAAAAGTCCTGCTTGATTAAGTCTGCCATGAACTCTTGATCGAATGTCAGCTCATGATTACCTGCTATCACAATCTTGTATTCGTATGGTAGGCTACCTAAAAAGAAGAAAAATAGACATTTGTTCAGTGTTGCATTTGTTTGTGTTGTTTTTTTTTTTTTAAATGACATAAAACCATGCCAAGCTTTCCAATGTGCTGTGTGATAGAATAAGAACTTCCAGAATAGGCATTTTATCCAGCCAGGAAATTCTAAGAACTCTGACTTCAATTCATTTATTCTGAATTGTGCTGAAGATGTATCTGGACACTCCGAAGAAAGACTAAAGATGAAACACACCATTCTTAGAATTAGGATTGCACTGGTGAAGTTAGGCAACTGTTTTGCATTTATACCTTGCTTTTTCTCTCAAGAACTCACAGTGAATTATGTTGGAATTCCCCTTCAGTTTATCCTTGAGCATGAGTGGCCTTAAATAACTTTAGGGCTGAGTCAGAAAAAACCTGGGTCTTCCTCATTCATGCCTCATGGTGAAGCATGAATGAGGCATGAATGAATTTAATTTGACCTCTCATACAATGAGCCAAGCAGGGGTGGGTTCTACTTACCTTTGCTATCTGTTCGCAATGGGATCGCGCTTCTGAAGCGCTTCTGCGCATGCGCAGATCGGTGATGATGACATCTAGGGCAGTGGGCGGGGCCTCCTGCCGGTTTTACAACCGGTTCTTCTGAACCGGTCCGAACTGGGGACAACCCACCATTGGAGCCAAGCTAAAGCTATTGGGGTATATTTTTAAATACATGATCAACCTACTTCACCTGCATGTTGGCACCACTCTTATTCAAATTCTGTATCAACATGGTGGGCCATCTCCTCGACACAAACGTCCACTTTCCAACTCTTGTTGGAAGTCACATCTCTATTCTACTCAATGCAGAGGTTGGCGTAACACTTTCAAGGGTATCTACTAGCCTTAAAACAGCACTGGGAGAACTAAGGGTTTACTGCAATGAAGACCTGCTAGAACTCAATAATCAGAAAACTAAAATCATGGCATTGCTAAAAGGCCCAAGAACCACTCCTGTAGCATAAATGGCCCCATGAGTGAGCAGGGCTCCCGTTTCAAATCTATGGGATTAGTTCTTCAGTCTGCTACCAGCAGGAAACCCCATGGGGACAACATTGTTGAAAATTCAAAGAGGAGAACTCATCTGGCATCTTTAAATTCCTCAAGACAGGATGTGAGTGTTACAAACATGCAGCATTTTCAAATTATTTGAAGACAAGCCAATCGTACAACTTCTTTGTGGTGTTCAACTGGGCCTCTTCCCCAATTTTGCGCAACTAGAACTTGTCCAATCCAAATTTCTAAGATCGGCCCTTCAATCCTCAAAATATATTGCTAATGACACCCTGAGCACCGGAGACAGGCCTCATGAACATAGAAGCTAGAGTGTGGATGAGCCGCAGTGGCACAGTGGTTAGAATGCAGTACTGCAGGCTACTTCTGCTGACTGCCAGCTACCTGCAATTTGGCAGTTCGAATCTCACCAGGCTCAAGGTTGACTCAACCTTCCACCCTTCCAAGGTGGGTAACATGAGGACCCAAATTGTTGGGGGCAATATGCTGACTCTGTAAACCACTTAGAGAGGGCTGTAAAGTCCTGTGAAGCGGTATATAAGTCTAAATGCTATTGGTATTGGTATTATACTCAACCACTAGCTCAAACTATCTCTTTTTCCCCTTACCATCTCCCAACTATGATGAAAGATTTTCAGTCTACATACAAGAAGGCCCCGGCAACTAAAACCTTATCCTTGGACTTCTCTCCAAGTCTCCTACTCGGCATGGGATATGATCAGATCAAAGCACTCAGCATATCAAACACAGAGTGCCAACTGGATCTAGCTAGATTCCCAATCTTTATTGCCAGAGAATCAAACAGGTACTCTCATAGGTACCCTATTTGAATTTAACTAATTTCAAAGTAACCTAACCATCAGCAGACCTTAGCACTCTCATGCCCTTCCCTCATCTTAGAGACAATGCCTTCGTGATTTTAGAAACAATAAAACATGTACTCCTCCAGTGACTGTATTGTACAGACTTTCAAAATAGCCTCATCTCACAATTACTGCATAAATATCCAGGGCACACCGGATAATTATATCATAAATTTAAATACTGAAATGAATTAAAGATGCTTTGCAGCAAATGTGTTCTTGGCTGCAAATCATCACGTTCCTTTTCAGATACACTGAAATTAGTTGTGTACTTTTTAAACTTCCAACATCCCACAGTTTTTCACATATATCTAGGATGCAGGTTTTGAGCTGCTATTCTTAAATCTCTGACATATGTAAAGAAACGTGCTACGTTTATGTTCATAACTTTATCCCCATTGTTATTTCTAAATATTCTTCAGCCATCTAAGATACCCATCCATCAAACATAACAACTTCAAGCTAGCTGGTGTTATTGCTTCAGTGACTGTGTTTATGTAGGTTATTTAAATAAATTCCTCTAAACAACAGTTGCTGTACATTTATTATAGTGGCAGCTGCAATCAATATGGTGGTCACAGATATGTCAGGTTTATCAATTAACAACTCTGGTTCTGATGAGTTTGCAAAATTGTTCTCCTAGTCCAGTGTTTCTCAACCTTTGTAGCTTGAAGATGGGTGGACTTCAACTCCCAGAATCCCCCAGCCAGCAGCAGTGACTTGGAAAGTTTCCTTTTAACATGGAGAATCATGGGATTAATTCCCCTTACCAAAATATTTAGCCACAATTTTTCAAACAAGCAAATGTTAATAGTCTTTGTGCAGTTAATTTTTTATCATGATTTTTATCATTGTTTTTACATTATGTTTTGTTCTTTCTTTCTTTGCATCTGTTTGTCACTTAGCACCTTTCTCAATCTGGCTGAATAGAAAAGATGAATACTAATGAAGTATTACTACTTCATTCTTAATTATAATTATAATTCTACAGAGGGATTATTGAGTCTGTCATCTGCACCTCTGTAACTGTCTGGTTTGGCTCTGCAACCCAACAAGACAGACACAGACTTCAACGGATAGTTAGAACTGCAGAAAAAACAATTGCTACCAACCTGCCTTCCATTGAGGACCTGTATACTGCACGAGTCAAAAAGTGGGCTGTGAAAATATCTACAGACCCCTCACATCCTGGACATAAATTGTTTCAACTTCTACCCTCAAAACGATGCTACAGGGCACTGCACACCAGAACAATAAGACACAAGGACAGTTTTTTCCTGAATGCCATCATTCTGCTGAACAACTAATTCCCACAACACTGTCAAATTAACTACTAAGATTGTATTACTATTCTTCTTCTCATCCTTACTAGTACGTATCTCTTCCCACTTATGGCTATATCCATGTGGCTTGTATCTTTACAACTTATATTGTTTTTATTGTTTCCTAGTAGGATTTGATTGCTTATTAGTATCTATGACTATCACTAAATATTGTATCTTATGATTCTTGATGAATATATTTTATTTTTTCTTTATCATATGCACAGTGATGGATTGCTACCGGTTCTCCCCGGTTCTTACGAACCAGTAGTGGAAATTTTGAGTAGTTCGGAGAACCGGTAAATACCACCTCTGCCTGGCCCCGCCCCCAATCTATTCGCTGCCTCCCAAGTCCCAGCTGATCGGCCAGAAGGAAAAAATCAGGGCTCACTTGACAAAGAAGAAGAAAAAAAACAAAAACAAGACATCTTAGCTTTAAATTGAGAAGCCAAGAAGCCTCTCAACTGATCGGCTAGAACCAATCTGTTCCTTGTAAACCGCTCGGTGGTGGTAGATTGGCAATTGAGGCCAAGCTGCCTGAAAGCGGTTTCCGATGCTCTCGGTGGTGGCAGAGCGGCAAAAAACTGTTTAAATTCTTGCCACAGCGCTTCAAAGGGCCGCCCTACAGCTGATCAGCGGTAAAAGGCAGTGTGGCTGTAGACCGGTGCCTCCAAAAACAAATAGGTAGACCAGTATGCTCCAAAAACAAATGGGTAGACCGGTACGGCTGTGCAAGCAGTTAAAAGCCTGGTAGCATTTAATATGAGCATGACTGAGTCATTTTTCAGGGGACTTATTCTAAGCGTGGCTAGTGTGACTCTATCTAGTATACTGATGGGAAAATATAAGAATCCATTTTACTGTATGTAAAATGCTTAAAATCCAAGTTAGTATTTTAAAATACTTTTGATAGAAGCTGTGACCACATTTTTTTTCCTTTTTTTAAAATAAATATATTTATAATAAATATATTATGTTTTATCAATAGGAATAAAATACAAACAGAAAAATAAAACAGAAAAAACATTCATTCAACAGTAACAACAACAAAAAAGAAGAAAAAATGTGTACATAAAAGGAAAAAAAGAAAAAAAATGACCCAAACATCAAATATTAAATATCCAACATTAAAAAAAACCATCCTTCCTGAATGCTGGGAAAAGAAAAAACCCTGATAAATTTTCCTCCCCTTGCATAATGGATCTGTAAATAATTATAAACTTTCTCATCCTTATTTAGCAAGAAAAATATATATACAAATATTTCAGATGAGGAGGTCTCTATCTAATAGTCGAATCGGACCAACATCTAATATATGTTAAAAAAAAAAATAATAATAATAAAAAAAAGCAGTCAATGGGCTATGGCTGAATTTTCATCACATCCAATAGATGTCAACAAATTAGCCTGAGGATGGAAATGCAGGGATGAAATTTATGGGGACCCCCATAAAACGTCCTACCTATCAATGACTACTTCAACTTCAACCACAACAATACACGAGCACACAATAGATACAAGTTTAAGGTAAACCGCTCCAAACTCAATTGCAGAAAATTCGACTTCGACTTCGAATGGTCAATGCCTGGATTGCACTACCTGACTCTTTGGTTTCTCCCCCAAGCCCCCACAACTTTAACCTTAGACTGTCTACTGTTGACCTCATCCCATTCCCAAGAGGTCTGTAAGGGGCATGCATAAGCGCACCAACATGCCTACCATCCCTGTCCTACTGTCCCCATTTATTTGTATCCATTTCATATATTCATAATCATGTTTATACTTATATCTGTAATCTTATATATGCTTGACAAAATAAATAAATAAATAAAAAATAAATAAATTTCTACAGTCTTCTGTGCTTTTTTCCTTCACTCATTTTCCATGGCTGACTCAGCCTGCTATCAAATCATTTTGAGGATGTAAATAAATGGCTGGCATGAATCACTTCCCCTTGTTTTGCTTTGAGGAACAGTGAAACTTTTATCAAAAACTTAAAAGCTTAAGTAATTTTTCTAAACGTTGTATTTAAAGAATAACATTATTTGTCAAACAATGGTTTTTCTTTTTACAGGCAAAGTCAGTTCAAGGATAAAAATACTTCTTTTATGTTGGTGGATTGAAATGAGAGTTGTGAGAGGAAGCAGTATTCTAAATAATTATCAATACAGATAGTTCTTGACCTAAGAGCACAACTGGGAACAACATTTCTGTTGTAAGCAAGACGACTGTTTAGTGAATCATGCCCAATTTTATTACTTTTTTTTTTTTGCCACAAAGTGAATCACCGCAGTTGTTAATGAATTGTAAGGTCATTGAATGAATCCTGTTTCCTCCACTGATCTTGCTTGTGGCTCGGAAGGTAACAAATCAGTGGTGGGATTCAGCCGGTTCTCTCCGGATCGCACGAACCGGTAGCAGCGACAGCGGGAGGCTCCACCCACCTGACGTAACGGACGCTTACTGCGCATGCGCAGAAGGCCATGTGCATGCGCAGATGAGGCGCATGTGCTCACATTTGCGAACCAGTAGGGAAGGTAAGTGAATCCCACCGCTGTAACAAATGGAGATCATATGACCCCAGGATACTGCAACCGTGATAAATATATGTTGGTTGCCAAGGACCCAATTTTTGATCATGTGACTGTGGAGATGCTGTACAAGAAACGGTTGTAAGTCAAAGACTAACTGTAAACAACTGCATGGATGAACGAACGTGCTTATCTCAAGTATAAAAAGCAGAATCAATTCCTCCAGCATTGAGCAGCAGATTGAATGACAAAATATTTGTTTTTTTTTTAAATTAGTCTCTTATAATCTGCACAACTTCCACATACTGTATATTCCTAAATCCTTATCTATTGATCCCTTCCTGCTGAAAAAGATATTTAATTAAGTGGGGGAATTTAAAAATAAATGCCACATTAACTTCACTAAGCCATAAACGCAAGCTTCTTACGGCAGAATTGTTTCACTTTTCACCAAGCATTTTGTTGAACAGATTTTAGTATTCTATGAGCGAAGTGGCAATCATATAAGTGCCCACTTAAAGCTTTCCTTTCCTCATTTCAGTCTTTTAAAATACTGCAGTGAGTGATACACTAAAGATAATATCATTGCTGAGATTGCATTTTAAGCATCTCATTGACAGTTCTATGTTTAAACAGTTGGCTAGAGTCTGGGAAATTTACATTAACACTGGAAATGAATACACCTTCTTCCTTAAGCCGTCTTTAAATTATTGTATCTGAGCATTGCTAACACATAAAAGCGAGCAATTAAATAAAAATGTAAAGCACGAAATGGATTTTTCTATGCCCATATATCTATATAAACAGAATAGAAAGAGGTACACACATCTTAGAGAGATAATTGCCTGTGCTAAAAGGGGACTTCTGTACCAAAGACAATTTACCTGAACAATCTCACTAAAATCTCTAGAATTTCTTTCCAAATGCCTGTGATTAAGACTGCAACTTTCCAAATTTCACTGTGATAAATGAAGAATTTGCTAAGAAAATAGTATCTGTAAATGCACCCATTGTAATTTGTGGGATGACTGCGTATCCTAAGTCTGTGTGGGAGCTGATGGGTGGAGGGGAGGATGAATTCTGTCACTCAAATTGGGGTTCGGTGTAGTTGCCTGCTTCAAAATCATCCGCACCATTCCCATCAATCTGACAAATAGAAATGGTTGGATGTTATACAAAAGCTCAGATAGCAATTCTTCATCTGATCATTTTCAAGAATGCTTCTCTAGTTAGATTACGGGTCAGCAACCGTGGCTCTGGAGCCGCATGTGGCTCTTTCATCCCTCTGCTCTGGCTCCCTGTCGCCGGTCAGCTCCGCAATTGATAGGGCTTTCGGTTAGGACACGGTAGAGGAAAAAGGATGCCACGCTAGGAGGAGACTCTATGGTGGGGGGAACCGGACTTCCGGTTGGCTCCAGAATTGAATGGGGGGCTCCCAGTTAGGACCTTTGTGGCTCTTTGAGTGTTTAAGGTTGCCGACCCCTGAGTTAGATACTATAGGAATGATCCCTTAAAGTACAGTTTGCCTACAGATTCCTTTTTATACCACTGCTTCTTCCAGCCTCAATCCTAGAGTCTACCAGATTATCTGAGCTCTGTTATTCCACTTGCTCCATCTGAGGAATCTTCTAAATGAGAATAAACTTGTTAATTGTAAACTGGAAGACATGGTGGTTAAATAGATATATATCTGACTTGAAAATTGTACTCAAAAGTGCTCATCAATCATCTACAGCAAGGGTGTCAAACTCAAGGCCTGCAGGCCGGATCGGGCCCATGGGGTGCTTAGATCTGGCCTGTGGGGCCGCCCTGGAAACAGCAAAGGACCGGTTCGCAGTGCCTCTGCCAGTAAAAATGAAGCTCAGGGAAGCCTGCAGAGGGCTGGAGGAGGCCATCGTGGGCGATGAGTGACGTCGAGCTGGCCATGTCCCCCTGCCCCCCTGAGGTCAAACATAATCCTGATGCGGCTCTCAATGAAATTGAGTTTGACACCCCTGATCTACAAGGTACCTGAAAGAAGGTATCAAGGGATTGAACAAGTGGAACAGTCTTTCATAACATGATACTTACCTAACCATTCATTGAATTTTTTAACTTCACTAGGAAGTCCCAGTTCAGTGAAATCACCAGCGTGAATTAAAACATCTCCATATGGCATTTGAATTGGATCTGTTCTGGAGTGAGTATCAGACACGCAAACAAAACGGGTGTATCCTGGAGGTCTGGGAGCATCATGTGGAACAGGATCTACCCTACGTATAAAGTTTGAGACACAAATATAGATGCTTTACGTTATACTCGCATATTGAGTTGATAGCCACAATATAAAGTATGTTTTCAGGGTATCTGAAAAACAAGTTAAATATTCAGCTTAGCCACACATATTTCAACTCCAAGTGTTTTCACCAATTCTTAGACAAAATAGCTATATTACAACTATGTTTAAACTTTTCTTAATGAAAGCAGATGTGGGCTTCATAAATTTTAGCAAGGGGTTCTCTGCCTGGTTGCTGGGTGGACGTCGCCATGGTGGGCATGGCCTAGTCAGCCTCCTGCACCACGGGAGGGGGGGCGTTTTTGCCCTCCCCAGGCTCCAGAGGCTTTCCTCGAGCCTTTGGGAGGGCAAAAATGGCCTCCCCAGGCTCCAGAGGCTTTCCTCGAGCCTTTGGGAGGGCAAAAATGGCCTCCCCAGGCTCCGGAGGCCCTCTAGTAGGCTCGTTTTTCACCCTCCCCGAGCCTCCACGCCTGCCCTGCACTTACCTGCATCCAAAACGGGCCATGTGGGAACTCCTGGGAGGGTTGGGACGGGATGGGCAGGGCCAGCCAAGAGTGGGATTTGGGGGTTCTCTGAACTGCACAGAATCTTAGCTAGAGGTTCTCCTGAACCCCTGCGAACCCCCAGCAGTCCACCCCTGAATGAAAGGCACTTTTTGAGTTAGGTTTTACATCTAAAGAAGTTCATTTGCAGATTGCCTTTAAATATTTTAAATTTAAATAACAGTTTAAAAATACACATTGTGGCTTATGAGCAAAACTAGTTTTTCGAGGCAACATTTTGCAAGGTTTGACTGTCGTGTTTTTCATTAATACCGCATTATGCATCAAATGAAATCTCAGTACATGTTTAACCTGAAACTTAAGACAAAATAGTTTTTGACGTATACGTAAGATGTAACTAATTAGGAATTATACATTTTAAGTTACTGCACAGAATAATAAATTAGAATACTTTTCCTTAGAGACTTTCACGTTTCCTTGATAGAACAAAAACTGACAGTTTCATGATTCAGTGTAGAAGTCTCTCTCTGGAGTTTTGAAACCACACCCAGAAATCTACTGGAACTACATACTTCAGCCCAGTGGTGAAATGTAAAATTTGTTATTACCGGTTCTGTGGGCGTGGCTTGGTGGGAAGAAATGTGACTGGGTGGCCGTGGCCAACTTTTTTTTTTTAACTTTTAAAACCATTTTTTACAACCTCTTTGGCCGAAGAGGTTGTAAAAAAAAATGCTTTTAAATGCCTCTGACGATCCCAGCTGAGTTGCCTGATCGTCAGAGGCTTTTTTTTCTTTTAAAAACATTTTTTCTACAACCTCTTTGTCCAAAGAGGTTGTAAAAAAAAATGCTTTTAAATGCCTCTGACGATCCCAGCTGAGTTGCCTGATCGTCAGAGGCTTTTTTTTTCTTTTTAAAAACATTTTTTCTACAACCTCTTTGTCCAAAGAGGTTGTAAAAAAAAATGCTTTTAAAAGCCTCTGACGATCCCAGCTGAGTTGCCTGATCGTCAGAGGCTTTTTTTTCTTTTAAAAACATTTTTTCTACAACCTCTTTGTCCAAAGAGGTTGTAAAAAAAAATGCTTTTAAATGCCTCTGACGATCCCAGCTGAGTTGCCTGATCGTCAGAGGCTTTTTTTTTCTTTTAAAAACATTTTTTCTACAACCTCTTTGTCCAAAGAGGTTGTAAAAAAAAATGCTTTTAAAAGCCTCTGACGATCCCAGCTGAGTTGCCTGATCGTCAGAGGCTTTTTTTTCTTTTAAAAACATTTTTTCGACAACATCTTCAGCCGAAGAGAAAAAATGCTTTTAAAAGCCTCTGACGATCCCAGCTAAGCCGCGCGATCATCAGAGGCTTTTTTATTTTTAAAAGCATTCTTTCAGTCAAAGAGGTTGTAGAAAAAATGCTTTTAAAAATAAAAAAGCCCCTGATGATTGTACAGCTCAGAAGGGCATGGGGGGGCAGGGATTTTTGCTACCGGTTCTCCGAACCACCCGCCACCATCGCTACCGGATCGAGTGATCCGGTCCGAACCTGGAGCATTTCACCCCTGCTTCAGCCCCATAATTCTCTACTGTCCTTCTTCTAGCAAATAAAAGAGCAAAGTTGACAAACTTTCTCCAGTAATGTCCCAAACCAACAGTTTAAAGCTGTGTGGCAAGGTTTTCAGAGCTTTCTCTTTCTTTTGGAGATAAATCAATCTCACAAGAGATAAATAAAATCAAACATTTTTTTTTTCAAAAAAGCCCCAAACTTCATGTAGGATACATGAAAACCAATTTACAAAAATGCAATATTTTCTGCAGACCAAAAAATGGTACAGGTCTGCTAGAATTTGAGACGTAGGGTACGATCTCTTGTTTCCAAATTAGATTTCATCTTACAAATAAAGCAAAAAATAAATCTTATGGAAAACAGCCAGAAATTACCCAAAATGTTCTACAAGTACAAATAGTAACAGAGAATAAGGTTTATAACCAACGTATAGCAAAATAAATAAATGCAGATTCCTGGCTAAAAGCATTTTCCTATTTCTCAGTACTTGAGATTCAGTGGCAGATAATGGGGAATAAGAAACATGGATACAAATCCATGGTTCAATTTCAATTTCTAGAGAGTAGGCAAATAATGCCTTTGCTGGGTTAATTACTGTAGTTTGCATGTCACATACTATACTTTATACATGATTTCTGGGGGGAAGGGAAGGAACATTATTTAGTTGAAATTCATCAGAATTGTTTTCTAGCTGAAAGAAAAAAAATTGCTCATTTTTATTTCTTAGAAAATATTTAGTCTTATATTTAACTTTAACTTTATTAATAGTGTTCATTTTGAAGTTATGGTGCTTATTGTTACATCAAAAGTAAATCATCTTTGAGAGCAAATTACCTTTACAGACATTTTCATCTACCCAAAAATAAAAAATAAAACTTATTTTAATTGCATCTTACTATCCTATTATTCACATTGGGCCTGATTTAAAATAAGCACTTTCACATTAATCCTCACATAATTTTATTAGCTCGGCCATTCTTTTGTTAGTGTTCAGACTGAACCAAACAATAAATAAGACATTTTGTTCTAAAACAGATTTTACATTAAAAAACAGAGAAAACTGACGGCAGAAAAAGACCCAGTGGTCATCGAGTCTGCTCTTTGAGTTTTTGTTTGTTTATTTGTTTTCTTTTCTTTTTAATTAATTAATTTTTTAAATAATTTTTAATTTTTGTCAGATGATAGACACCTAAGCATGTTTAAACTCAGAGACTGATGATTGACATACTATCTCTGCTGGAAGTTGTTCCAAGCTTCTACTACTCTTTCTGTGAAATAAATACTTTCTAACTACTTTTGAACTACCCTTCTGTCAATTTGAGGTTATGTCCCCGTGTTCTTGATTTTTGCTTAATACGGAAAATCCTGCCTTCTAGAGCCTTATTCATATCCTTAATATATTTTAAAGTTTCAGTCATTCCCCCATTTCCCTTCTGTCCAGTATGGTTACCCGGTATGGTTAGCAAATGTTGTTGCAATTTTACATGTACTTAAAACTCCTGTAACTGCCTGTTGCTACTTTATGATATGCTGTTCTGACCTAGGCTTCCTAAAACAGTAAAAAGCACATAATTAGTCCCCCAAACCCTCTTTTTATGTCAACGACTGTGAATTAGGTTCATTCCCAGCCTGTAATGAGTCACAAATAGTTTGTAAAGAGCCCGACAGAAGTCTACCACAGTCCTTCGGGATAAGCCTGATAAGCACCCACCTTTATCTCCCTTGACACGCTGCCAAAGATCTAATTGGCAATTAGCTTTGCAAGGCCACACGGAGCACAGAGTCAAAACAGAGCTTCAGAATTTAAACCGACCAGAACAAACAAAGTTGCTTCCTGCAAAGGCTCATGTGCCTTTGCTCCTCCTTTATGTCTTATGGGAGGGGCCAATCATCTCCAAGCCCTACTCCTGAGTTGTCCCTTTTGTCTTAACTGTTCTTGCCTTCTAGTAGTTCTGCGCCTGCATGCACTGAGAACAGGCTCCCCCTGTTCCTCTGCCTCGCTGATGTCCGATTCTGGAAGCTCTGGAGGAAGCACATAACTCCCAGATGGTCCTGGCCCCCTCTCTGACTCCGATGCAGAGCCCTCGTCCGAGCCCTCCCCAGATTCCAGGATTGGCCTGTGTTCCTCCCCAACCTCCTCACTGTCCGACTCTGTTGCCAGCTCCGCAGGCTGCCGGCAGACCACAGCATACATGTGTACCCAAAGAGTTATCCTTTGCTTTTATTCATAGAAATATTTATTTCACCTAGGAATTATTCTCGAGGGTTATGAAGTGGCGACTGCTCCATGACATATCACATTGACACAGTAATAACCATTTAGTAATCCGTGATACGGCATCAACTGAATGGTAGGACTTACATTTGTACATGTGGGGGTTGGAAACGTCCCTGATTAATGTTGTAGAAAGTGAAGGCCTGTGTTGGATTGGAGCTGTACTCATCTACTTCGATTATGAGTCGACTGTGTTGATGCCTTCTAGCAGTCATGATGTGTGATTGGGCAAATGCCATGCTTGCTCTCTGCAGCAATCCTCCTCTTTCACAGAATCATCTCTCCATATTGGCTGAAAACATCCCCTGGTTTCTCTCTAGCTTAATCATATAAGTGTCCCTTTCTGGATTCTGAAAATATAAAATCAGACGGAAAACAATGATACTGGATACAAGTGTTTGATCATTCACATGCTTGGGATACATCTTATTTATTTGCTGTCACAAATTTATGAGAGGAAGATAAAGGCTAATAGCTGAAGTATCTCATTACAAATAATTCCAGTTCAGCAAATTGAGGAATATTATCTAGATCAGGGGTGTCAAACTCACGGCATCATGGCGGCGTCATGTGATGTATCGTGACTTTTTCCCTCTTCACTAAACCGGGTGTAGGCGTGGCCAGCGCATGACGCATCCGGCCTGCAGGCCGCGAGTTTGACACCCCTGATCTAGATGCAAGGAAGAAAACAAACTAATTAAAGAAGACGTGCTAAATAGGGCCAAGGTCCCCAACCACCAGTCCATGGACTGACACTGGTCTGCAGCATGCCAGAAAGTGGTCTGCGCAAACAAGCGAAGCCTCATCCGCGGGATACAGGCAGCACGTGAAACCACACCCCCTCAGGTCCATGGAAAAACCTATTTCCACGGAACCGGTCCCTGGTGCCCACAAGGTTGGGGGGGCGCTGGAATAGGGCATCACTTCTAGAAAATGCATGTCATTGTTTTGCAAACACAAATAATTTTATTTTCTTCTGCCCTTCATGTATTAGAAAATGTTCACATTATTGTTCCAACTGTTTATGACTATTTACCAAAAGTTTGTGTTTCAAAAGATCTATATTATGCCTTTTTTCTGTATTTTATTGATCATGATAAATCCATGAATTATCTGAAATGGCTAGAACCATTAAAACGTTAGTTAAATTCAGATAATAAAATATCAGAAGTATATTTGCCTTTCATGATTTTCCCTAAAAATTAATAAGTTGAATATATTATTCAACATATTATTTCAATCACCCAAATGTCACTTAAATGATGCCTATCCACATTTCATTTTGTTGAAATGATATTAATTTTTGAAACTGTTTCTACAGGTCAACAATCAGCTCACAATTATTTTAGCTCTCTAAAAATCAACACAATTGCATATTCTCCAGCAATCTTTGTCTCTCAGGCAAGCCATCCCATTTGTATACTTCACAGATTTTTTTATTAATTTATTTATCAAACTTTAAACTTGGAGAGATTTTCAATGAAATAGTGCAAATTCTGTGTACCGATAGAACGATGGTGATTTTATTATCTCATTGCTTTTTAAGAATTCCTCCATCATTCCCAGTTTTGAATGTTTTAAACTGATTTTTAACTGTTATTTCCACATTTGCCCGAATTTCTTATACAGATTGAGATCCAGGGTGAGGGGACACTCAATTTTTCAGTTATTTATAACAACTTTAATTTGAGGTATAAGCTTTTCAGTGAAAAACGTTACTTTTCATATTATTTTCTAGCTTCACAGTATCTCATTTCTAGGGGAAGCAAAATTGTGTGTACTTAAAAGCACTCTATTTAATGAGCCTTACTTGCATGTAAATGCAGATCAGTTACCATTTTGTGCATTTTTTTCAAACGATGAGAACTTACAGTGTTTTAACTCCGGAGTCTTTTTGCAGTCCATGTTCACCTTGATGAAAGCGCAGCTTCTGAAAGATACCAAACAATGGGGGTGGGGTGGGGGATTGTTTATTTATTAGCAACAAATAATTTATTAGCAACAAGTAGGATACATTTACATTCCTCCTAAATAGAATATAGAAATAGAATAACAGAGTTGGAAGGGACCTTGGAGGTCTTCTAGTCCTACCCCCTGCCCAGGCAGAAAACCCTACACCACTTCAGACAAATGGTTATCCACAGGGATGGGTTCTAATTTTTTTTACTACCAGTTCTGTGGGCGTGGCTTATTTTGCGGGTGTGGCTTGGAGGTCACGTGACTAGGTGGGCGTGGCTACCTGGTCAGAGTCATTTCTGGAAGGTCCTCGCACTTATGAGCAGTCCTCGCACTTACGACCCGACTCATTTGTTTGCTTTTAACACTGATCAGCTGTAGGACGGCCCTTTGAAGCCCCGCGGCAAGAGTTTAAACAGTTTTTTTCCCTCTAGTCATCAGCTGGGACTCAGGAGGCAGCAATAGATTGGGGGGTGGGACCAAATAAAAGGTAAGAATAATGTGGGGGGGTGGGGGTGGGAGGGCGGGGGGGAGAACCAGTTCAGTGACATCATATCGTCACCGCTACCGGCTCGGCCGAACCGGACCGAACCGGGAGGAACCCACCACTGGTTATCCAACATCTTAAAAACTTCCAGTATTGGAGCATTCACAACTTCTGGAGGCAAGTTGTTCCACTGATTAATTGTTCTGACTGTCAGGAAATTTCTCCTTAGTTCTAAATTGCTTCTCTCCTTGATGAGTTTCCACCCATTGCTTCTTGTCCAGCCCTCAGGTGCTTTGGAGCATAGCTTGACTCCCTCTTCTTTGTGGCAGCCCCTGAGATATTGGAACTCTGCTATCATGTCTCCCCTCGTCCTTCTTTTCATTAAACTAGATATACCCAGTTCCTGCAACCGGTCTTCATATGTTTTAGCCTCCAATCCTCCCCTAATCCTCTTTGTTGCTCTTCTCTGTACTATTTCTAGAGTGTCCACATCTTTTTTACATCGTGGCGACCAGAAGTAGTAGCTTGGCACAGGAAAATCACATTTAATTCTCTCAGCTCCTCTGTTTTGAAATAAGGGAATGCTGAAGGCAGACTGTATTCATTGTTTAACTGGATTTTAAAAGATAAAGGAAACATTTGAGTCAAGCTTGGGAGGATAGGAACGGTTGATGGGAGATTTCTATCCGCCCATTCCTCACCATCCAGTCACAATTGATGAATCTTTTCGGATGAGAATCAAAATTATCTTCTTCTTCCTCAAAAAACAATCCAGTTGCCTTTTGGGGTGGAAAAAAAGCATCTTTGAGACTGTCCCAAGTGATGGTCTTTTAGCTGTTTTCATCTTTTATCCTCACTGTGAGATGAGGGATAGATGACAATATCCTTTTATGTGCTATATTTTTTAATTATATAAGAAAGTTGACTCTTTCTTAAGTTGACAAGTAACTGACCCTCACTTGCTCTCTTATCATTTTTCCTCAGAAGAAAAAAAAATTCCTTTACTGAGCTTTAGCAATCTGGTAATATTTTTTCAAAGAGGGTCCAATACCATAATTTGGCAAATATCAGTTTAATAGAACAAAACATTTTTTTTAAAATGCCTTTCCATTTCTCCTGATATTGGAGGGAGAAAATTAGGTCAGTTAGCAAATGGATGGACTGATTTGTTACCGAGTTCCTTTTATTCATTGGGAGGCTATTATACCAGCAGCCATTACAATCTTTACAGCAGAAATAATCTCACAGATGTTATTTGGCCCCAAATGTGCTCCTATAACAAGTTAAATCCAAGAGAAATCACAAACCAAAGTTTTAAAGAGTTATTTCAGTCTGCAGGAAATGAATCTGGAATGGATCCCCTTTACAGCAAGGTCCTGTATTGGTTGACTTAATTATTGCCTCAGATCTAGGAATTCTACTGTTGATTCAGCTCAACGTAGAAGATCCAGTTCCAGAAGTGCATAAGCCCGTGATGGCAAAGCTATGGCACGCGCACCGGAAGTGGCACGCAGAGCCATCTCTCCGGGCACGCCAGCTGTCGCTTGTTGCTCTTCTAGGTTCCAGGCAACCAGCTGGTCTTGGGTCTGGGAGTGCGAGAAACCAGAAGAGCAGCTCCTTGGTGCGCATGCACATGCCGGAAACATGTACATGCCAGAAACCGGAAGCTCACATGCGCCAGGGAACTGCTCTTCCGGATTGCGGCGCTCCCGCGTGTACATGCCGGGGAGCTGCTCTTCTGGTTTCCGGTGCTCCCCCACGCATGCGGGCGCACCCATTTTGGCAGTCGGTGCCAAAAAGGTTCACCAACACCAATGTGGCTTTTGCACACAATTTTTGCTACTCCTAGGGCTAAATAGGGCTATTACTGAAATGGAAACCCATGTTAGACTTTATTGTCACTTTGAATGTACACTAATAGGCATACATTAAAATGAAATTTTGTTGCATACAGCTCTCAAAGGATCACCAATATATACTACATAAAAATGACAAAATAAATAAATTCCAGGCAAGATATGAGAAGAGGATGTCAGAGAATTTTGTCAAACTGTCAGAGATTTGACTTCCTTATCCCAACCAAGATCCGGTGGGCCTTATCTGCTTAAGCCAACTTTTGTCTCACCTGCTTTAATATCCCATCTGGCAGTATCAAAATCAAAGCAAATATTTATTACAGCATTGAGTAGTTCAAAATAAAAGATAACCAGCAAACAAAATATTGGAATAAAAAAGCTTAGGATTCAGTGGTGGGTTGCCCCTGGTTCGGACCGGTTTGCAAGAACCGGTAGTAAAACCAGTGGGAGGCTCTGCCCACCGCCCCTGATGTCATCAGGAAGCTTCTGCACATGCACAGAAGTATGTGTGGCCCCGTTGCGAACCAGTAGTAAAGGTAAGTAGAACCCACCCCTGTTAGGACTTGACATTAAATCTGATTCTTAAACAGTTATGGTGAACCTGAAAAGTCACAGTACAAAAACTGGGCATGCAAAGAACAACAGCAGGGACTATATCTGCCAGTTAGAAGAAAATACTAAACATATCACATCTATATCTCAGCTATAAATTTAAAAAAACAGAGCAATCTGAATGATACCAATATCCTTAGCCAATTTCAGTTGCCCTTGAGCCAAAAGGGCTGATTTGGCCTCAGTTAGTTTGTTGGTTTGTTTATCCAATTAATTTATTATTGCAATCTACCAGGTGGTTAGCAATTAAAAAAATCCAATAAGGGAATAAAACATCCATAGCAAGAAAAATAAAGCAAATTAAAACACCCACAATAAAAGTAACAAAATAATAAGCAGAGCAGTAAAACAAGATAGCATAATCTCAGCTGCTCCCAAAGGTCTCATAGGAATCCCTGCCTTAAATAACTCCTAAAATGATAAAGGGGAAAGGGGTAGCTACTCCATCATGTGAGCACCATAATTGAAAAGCTGGAATAGAGAAGGTTCACCTTTGATCTAGAACAGCTCCTAGAAATCACTAGAAGAGGTAGAATATTTGTATCCCAATTTGAAAGTCTCAACTTACTATAAAGATTTTAGTTGAAGGTTTTTTGTTTATTAAAGCATGGTGTTCTTCATTCCATGATTATTTTGAATTCTTTTTTAATAAACTGGTTTTTCTGCATAATTCAATATAACAAAATAAATTCTTACTGCTATGCTTATTGTGTTACTTACATAGTCATGAGAGAAATACAGACATTTAAAGACCTGGAATATTTCTATCCAGTGATGGGTTCCAAATAATTCCACCACCGGTTCGTCGAAAATGTGTGTGCCCACGCCCCCACCCCCACCCCGGTGGCCCTTTGGCCTAGCGCAGCAGGCCGCAGACTGAATAAATTGCTTCAGCCCGGGGGGGGTGTAGTTTGAGGCCAAAGGGGGGTGGCGGCATGTGGGTGGAGTTCCAGGGCAAAGCTAGAGCGGGGGAACGGCATGTTCCCCAACCCGGCCGAGGTGAACGGCGAGCAGGTGGAGGCTTCGGGGCAAGTTCAGGTGTGTTCCCCAACCCAGCCGAAATGGGCGGAGGCTCTGGGGCAAGGCCGGAGCCAGGGTATGGCGCTGACCCCAGGCAAAGGGCGAGCGGGCGGCATGGTGAGCAGAGCGGGCGAGGTGAGGTGCAGAGGCAAGGCACAGAGATTAGCTGGGCCTCGTGGCAAAGGCAAGATATATAGGGCGGAGTGGTTTGGGGCGGGGTGAGCAGGGCCAGCCGGTGGTGCGATTTGCCACTTCTCTGAACTACTAAAAATTTCCACTACTGGTTTGCCCGAACCGGTCCAAACCAACTGAATACCACTGAGTATTCACTGAATATTGAATATCTGTTTCTATCCAAAGTGGTATTTCTACATTTACAAAGAGATCGTAAGGGGTGGGACACCATTAATAAATGGTTATCAAATCTACCTGCATTTTACCTTCATAATATACTTTTTCAACATTCTTTATTAAATTTTCAACCTCAGCAATTTCCCTTATTTTTAAATACCACTGGTACCATTAAATATGGACTTGGTTTTCCAGCGTTTTTCAATAATAAACAAGCTAACAAAAATATTGAGTTCACCTCTTATACTACATTAACGTACAGTATCTACAAACAACAAAGCCTTACATTTCTATCAATGCAGACTAGAAATATTGAAATGTACATACTATAAATGTCATTTTTACAAGTAATTTTATGTGTAATGCTATCTTTATAATTAATGCATAAAAGCTTTCATTCTCTTTCATCTGAACAACAGGAGTGGAAAGAAAATATGGCAAAGCTGTTTTTTTTTTCTAAGTCCTTGTCTTTTATACTTTTATACAGAACACACACACACACACACACATACACACATACATATATATATATGGAGCTAATGGACTGTATCAGTAATAGTGTGCCAAGTTTTTAAGATTTAACATTTTTAAAATTATTCCAACTAGGCAGAAATATGTCAGGTTGCCATTCTTGATACACTACAGCAGTGTATCAAGTGATGGCTAACCTTTTTGCCATCGCGTGCCAGTAGCGGTGGGGGGGTCGCATGCGCACATCCATACCCATAATTCTATGCGCCACATGCATGCACGCACGACCCCCACACACTCCACCCACTCCTGGCACGCAATGGCCCAGTAGGCCCGTTTTTTGCTGTCCCCAGGCTCCAGAGCCTTTCTAGGAGTCTGGGGAGGGTGAAAATGGCCTTCCCCACACACACCTGGAGACCCTCCGGAGGACAGAAACAGCCCGTTTGCCAACTTCTGGTGAGAGCGGAAGGCCCATTTTTTGCTGTCCCTAGGCTCCAGAGCCTTTGGTTTTCGCCCTCCCCAGACTCCTAGAAAGGCTCTGAAAACGGGCCTTCCTGTCCCACCGGAAGTTGGCAAACGGGCCGTTACCTGCCTCCGAAGGGCCTCCAGGGGGTGGGGAAGGCTGTTTTTGCCCTCCCCAGACCCCTAGAAAGGCTATGGAGCCTGGGGAGAGAAAAAAACGGGCCTTCCCTACCACCCCCCGAGGCCCTCTGGAAGCAGGAAACACCCTGTTCCCCTACTTCTGCATGCCAGGGCTGAGCTCACATGCCCACCAATATGGCTATGCCACAAGTGCCATAGGTTCGCCATTACAGCACAACAGTGTCACTCCATGGATGTTCTCAGAATTTCCACATTGAAGACTATGAAACCTGAGCACATAAAATTGGGTAGATTTTCTTCTGTGGCCCAATCCTTCATGAGTTATGACCAAAGAAAAGAACTTTTCATGGTATAATCTTTCACAGATTCATCCAGCTAATCTCACTCCCCAGAATATGTATATAGGAGGGGTTTAAGTTACAGAATAATTTAAGATTATGGGTTCCTTTTTTTACATGGAACCCACTACAGCTGGGGTGTCAAACTCAAGGCCCATGGACCGGATCTGGACCGTGGGGTGCTTAGATCTGGTCCGCAGGGTCACCCTGGAAACAGCGAAGGACAGGGCCACGGTGCCTCTGGCAGCGAAAACAGAGCTCGGAGCCGGTTTTTGCTGTCAGAGCACTTGGGCCACCACAGGTGTCCCCGACACGAGTGATATTGAGCTGGCCATGCCCACTCCAGCATGCCCCCTCTGCCAGCCCCCAGAGCTCAAACACAACCCTGATGTGGCCCTCAATGAAATTGAGTTTGACACTCCTGCACTACAGGAGGAAAGTTTAAATGGTCTATTGGTATTCCTTGTTTGCAAAAAAAAAAATAAAAAAAAATGCTGTTTTTGAAAAAGGTTTCCAAGTTGCGTATAAAAATGCAACGCTTTGTGAGAAGTTGAAGACAAAATCAACACATTTTGGGGAGAAAGCTAAAAGTAGAATAGTAAAACTAGTTGAATAATATAAATGATGTTTAAATTATGGAAAGCCGTATATGAAAATGTACCTTAAATATACAGTACTGTGGAAATGAGTAGGGCAGTTGTGCAAAAAGGCTGTAAATTAAGAATGTTTTCAGAAATAGAAGCATTAAAAATAATGGATAAAAATAAACTGTTATCAATTAAGCAAATGGAAAGTAAATGAACGGAAGAGAAACCCAAATCAAATCCATATTTGGTATGACCAAAATATTCATTTACTTTCATAACATCCATTTACTTTCCATTTTGTTAATGGATAAAAATAAACTATTAACACTTCCATTTCTGAAAGCATTCCTAATTTACACCATTTTTGCACCCCTGCATAACACCTTTACACAGTGCTGTATAAGTCATAAAACAAAAAATTATGGATAACTTCATATAAAAATGCTGTGAACATCCATGTCCAAAATACAACACCATTTTTTAAAAAATTATATGAACAATATAACAGACCATTACTCTATCATGACCTCATTTTACTCCAAATTTCCTACCGGAACACCATTTTTCTGACCCTGTGCTCTTGCTTTTTATTACATCATTTCTTCCCCCTTTTATCTGCTGTTTAAATTAGGGGTTTCCTATTCAGGTTTTCCTATACAAATTTATGCGGATATGCAATATGCCTATAGAAGATGAACATCAATTTCTCACTCTCTTGTAAATTTTCACCCTTACTGAACCACAATCTGCATCATTATCAATAATTGTAAACATTAACAATAACAATAAAAAGGTGGAAATTAAGCTCATATTTCCATATGAGATTTGCAAATCCATGAAATGCTGATAATGCAGGGAAGTATAAAAAGATGCAGATGAGCACAATAGAAAATACTGCACATATATAGCCAGATCCATAAACTAGTACTATAAGAAAGGTTAAATTGATAATCTAACTTAATTTCAATTTTGAAACTACTATGTGATGTACCTGTTTGACTTTTAAGGTTCACTTAAATGGTTAAAGATGATGTGAAACATATTAGTAAGACAAATAAATAGGTTTTCTTACAAACGAATGTATTGAAATAAATCTTAAGGGGTAGAGTGTAGCTTCTCCGGCACTGTTCTTATCTATGAGAAAATGGAATTTGTATTAATGTTCCTTTGCCTTTGTCTTCTCTGTCTTTCAACTGGAAGCCAAACATACTTCACTACTGTTATGAAGCCTCTTCACCAATTGTATCCCTTGCAATTCCTACTCCTACTCCTTTTAGGACATCGGCCTTGAGGACTACAAACCCATCTCAGCAGGTCAGGGAGGAAATCAAACCACAATTTAAAAACCTATCCTTGAATCTTCTATGGTCAAATATCTTTTCCCTAACTCAGGGGTCAGCAACCGTATGTGGCTCTTTCACCCCTTTGTTGTGGCTCCCTGTCACTCAAACTATGCGTCACAACCGCCAATGTGCGACACCTGTCGGCACGCAATTTATTGAGCTTTTCAACCCCTGGTACGCCAACCATGGATAAGTCCAAGAAAAGAAAAGTTTCACAAGAAGAAACAGAACGTTTAATTCAACGACATATGCTAGTTTTGTGGCCGCTCAAGAAATAGTCAAGCAGGGGAAGGGTTTTGTGGCTCCCGGTGTTTTCTTTTCTGTGGGAAACGGGTCCAAATGGCTCTTTGAGCGTTTAAGTCTGCAGATCCTTGTCCTAGCTTGAAAAGCTAATATCATGATGCTAGCATGCAGAGTTCGGGTATTAGCAGGTTACTGTTAAATACAGATAGTCCTCGACTTACAACAATTTTTTTAGTGACTGTTCAAAGTTACAACGGCACTGAAAAATATATGACCATTTTTCACACTTATGACCATTGCAGCATCCCCATGGTCATGTGATTTACATTCAGATGCTTGACAACTGACTCACATTTATGACAGTTGCAGTGTCCCAGAGTCATATGATTCCCTTTTGCAACCTTCTGACCAGCAAAGTCAACGGGGAAACCAGATTCGCTTAACAACCGTGTTACTAATTTAACAACTGCAGTGCTTCACTTAACAAATGTGGCAAGAAAGGTCGTAAAATGGGGAAATTAACAAATTTCTCACTTAACAACGTAAATGTTGAGCTCAATTGTGATCGTACATTGAGGACTTCCTGTATATGCATCAATACCACTAGATTTACAAAACCACCTTTAAGTTAAATGAACAAATTAACTTTTTAATTTCATTAAAAAACTAAATGAAAGAGGATTTTTATGTGCTGTAATTTTAAACAGAATCTATGACTATCACGGAAATCTACCTTTGACCGGTGTCATGGTAAGAAAGGTTTTTAAGTCAGTCTTGTATCCTGAAGACTTACATAAATGTTTTTGATAAAATAATTTGTCCTTCCACAAAATAATTTTGTCCTTGGTTCCTCCTGTAGCTAAGGGAAACTCACTAGTGTCAGGGGTGTCAAATTGATGGCCTGCGGGCCGGATGCGTCACACGGAGGCCACACCCACCCCAGCTCCGCAAAGGGGAAAAAATAGCAAAACGTCATATGACGACAACATGACGCCACGAGTTTGACACCCATGCAGTAGCCCAAAGTCACTTAGGTGAGGCTACAACTCACATTTCCTGGTTCTTTTAACCTTTATACCAAAATGGCTCTCACCCTACTTGTTAGATGGAGTTAGATAAATGCATAGCCTAAATGGAGATCAAATCCAACATTCAGATCAAATATTTTCAGCGGCAATCTATAGCTTCTTTTTCCTTAGCTTTCAAATCGGAAAAAGATTTCCAGCTCTAGGCGGAATTTCAATATCGTTTTGCTTTATCAGGATTTAGTCTTAAACCACAAGGAAATTTATTGATGGATTTGTAAACCTAGTTATTGAAATCAAGCGAAGGATTCTCTGGGCACACAGTCAAAATCCACAGACAGAATCACACCATTATAGCCATCATTTTCCCTTTTTTGACCACATGCCGTAAATACTCCTGATATCTATCAGATAGAAATGTCCTAGACCATCTCCTTTCATTCGTGTGAAAAAGAGCATTGCGATTTCTCAGAGTAATGCCAGCATTCAATGCGCCCTTTGGTCATCTGCAATTGTTCGGACCTAGGCTTCCCCGCAGCACAAGGCCTCGTCCCGATAAACCCCTTTTATTTAATTTACAGTGAATTCCACTCCAGCAAAGTCTTTCCTCTTCCACAGTCTTTCAAGGTAGTTCACAATTACTGATCTTTATCAGGCTTGGAGAGTGGCCAGGCCAATATCTTTCAGACGCCGCAATACTTGGCAAGAATGCAGGAATGAACTAATTGTCTCCTGCAAACTCCACTCCCCTTTTGCTCCTCTTTTATTCCTTCTGGGAGGGGCCCTTCATCGTCCACCTATGGCCTTACTCCCAAGTTGACCCTTGTTCTTTAGCTGTTCCCTTCGTCTGGCAACTCTGCGTATGTGCACCCTGGGAACAGGCTCCAGCTGTTCGTCTGCCTCACTGAATGTCTGACTCCAAAGGCAGCTGATAACTGGCATACGACTCTGGCCACTTTTCTGCCTCTGACGCAAAGCCCTCATCAGAGCCTTCCCCAGACTCCAGGACTGGCCCATGTTCCTCCCCAACCTCCTCACTGTCCGAATCTGCTGCCAGAACCGTTGGTGGGCCTCAACAGCAATGTTCAAAAACAGAAGTTCAAACCAAAGATCCTATCGCCTAAAGCAGCTTCTTTTGGCCTTTCAGACACTACTTCAGACACAGAAACATTCAGGGGCTTATACACATGCACCTCTGGGGTCTGCGAATAATAAAGGATTAGCCATACCAAGTATTA